GATGGCACAATACAGGGAAGAAGCAAAATGAGTCACTGAGTGGATTGAAATCATGTTGGAAAGGTACCTTTTAATTTGTGTTTTGCAATGATGATGGGAGGTGCAAGCACAGAGATGAAGAGAAATTGTTCCTCCACAGTTTTGGGGCAGTGACAGTAAAAGTCCACATCTCCTATGGTACAGAGCCAAGAGGCAGGGACAGAGAGCAGGTGAGTATTGTCATATCCCAATCTTGCCATGACTCAGTTTCCCAAGAAGCAACACTCACCTCCCACGCACGCATTCGCTCACCGTCCCCGGAGTTCTACTCTCACACACCTGTCACCAATCACACACACACTCTCACCACAGCATATAGAGAGTCATTCATTATTATGACTTTGCGAAGTATACGTTCAGCTGACTTGTTCTCTGTTGTTTCCAGCCGTTGTCTCTAGTTTTGGTTCACTTAGTTTCCTCTGGAAGACTTTCATCTATCTTCTACATACTATAACAAACACCCTTCCATCTGTGTTTGATGCCATTATATCTGCATCCTTAAATTGCTCCATTTATGTCTATCCATTGTATTGATTAGTAAAGTTTCTTCCCTAAGAACCTATTCAGTCTTTAGGAAATAGTAAGTTAAATGAATGCCAAGATGTACAGTAGTTGTGTAGTGGATTTTTGGTCAGTAATTCTGTACTGGACTAATCAGAATAAAGGGTTTCATTTGGGCTTTATTTGCAAAGACATTGGTCCCTCAGACATGTTTTGTTCAGTATCATGATTTGTGGTTTATATTTAATTCATTAGTGATTTACACTGGTTCTTTTTATACCACTCTAAGATTTTGTGATGTTTTAGTCAGGGAGGTCAGGTCTGTGAAATGAAGAGTGACAGAATTTAGTAAATGAGTTTTTCATATTCAAAGATGTTAATACACACAAAAAAAGATGCCAAACAGAAAGTTAGGTGAAACCTCAGCAATGGATTTGTGCATTCACACCAAATATGATATGCATATAGTACATGACTTTGAGGTAGTCAACCAATTTTAACGTTTCTCAGTTGGGGTTACTATGACATTTAAACTTTTTAACTGTTTCTCAGGAAGTGCTTGGCTAACAGAGTTAAATTTCTCTACACTACATCAATGTGCCACTGATAGCACTACTTGATTAATGGTGAATGGAACTAATTGATCACTTGAAGCTATATGTTTTATTCATTTTCTTATTTGAGGACAAAGCACACAAATATGGGAATCCTAATGTTTATGTTTTTGCTTATGGACTTTTAGTAAAAATTACTTGGTTTTCCAAGTTTTACCAAAAAAATTTCCTAATTACTCAACTTACAAAATGCAAAAATGTTAAAAGTAGTTCCAGCTGTTCAAGTTTGATTAATGCTAATGAATTTAATGCTAAGTAATTTATTTAGACTCAAATGCTAATTCAGGTGGCAAAACGTCAAGCCATTGCTGAGACATGGACTCACTTCCTGTCTGCTGACTTCACAATCAAATTTGTTTGTCTGTTGCTGATGAACCATACTGAATATCAAACACCATCCATCCATCCATCCATACATACATACATCTTTTAAACTGTTTATACTTTTAATGGTTTCTTTTCATGGTTCGATGGTTCAAAGTCACGGCAAAACCTGGAGCCTATGGCACAAGGTGGGGTACACCCTGGACAGGGTGGCAATCCATCGCAGGGCACAAACCCATACACATTTACATTTACACATGCATTCATACACTATGGACACTTTGGACACACCAATCAGCCTACCATGCATGTCTTTTGACTGGGGGAGGAAACCAGAGTACCCGGAGGAAACCCCCGCAGCACGGGGAGAACATGCAAACTCCACGCACACAGATTGAACCCCCGACCTTGGAGGTGTGAGACAAACGTGCTAACCACTAAGCCACCGTCACCTGTGAATTTGTTAAAAAGGATTATTTTTTGAAGACAAGAGAGCTGTCTATAGGAGAAAAGCAAGCCATTTTGAAGCTGAGAAATAAAAGAAAGTCAGTCAGAGCCACTGCACAAGCATTGCAAACAAAACAATTTGGAATAGTCTGAAAACGAAAGAAACCTCTGGTGTACTGAGCAACAGACACTGAATGGGTTGACCAAGGTAAACAAAATCAGCTGATGACAGAAACATTGTTAAGAAAAATCCAACAACAACAGTTAGTGATATAACTAACAACCTCCACAGGGCAGCGGTGAAAGTATCACAATCCACCATTCGAAAAAGACTTTGGGAGCAGAAATATAGAGGCTATACCACAAGATACAAACAACTCACCAGCAACAACTCAAAGAAATACAGAAATGGTTTCTGGTACAAAACCACCAGGTTTTGTGCAAATCTATGCAACCAATCCTCCAGAATGCTAAGGGCTTCTACTCTTGTCCTTGTCCTTGGATATGGAACAGCCTACCCTTTTTTTTTTTTTTTTTTTTATTAAAACCTCCTGGAGATAGGAGACTTTTAAATCCAACTTGAAAACATTTCTATTCTCTCAAGCTTTTGAGGTGCTATAGATACATTGTGTAGTGCTGGTGGGTTTACGTTTTAGTTCTTTAATTTTGTTCGGTTCTGCTCTAGTCTCTTTACAATTTTATAACAAACTTGTCTTGCTTATTTTTAGTTCTGTGTTTTATTCTCTTTTTATCTTATTTTATTAGCCCATTCTTGTTTTGTGTTTTTATTAATCTTACCCCTGTATAATTATTTGATTAGTCATTAATTCTACTGTACAACACTTCGGCAGCCCAAAGTGTTGTACAGTAAAATAAAATTTACTTTATTGATCATGAGTTAAAGCTGTTTGAGTGAATTATCCTCTACCTTATAAGGACTGATTGGCATGTGAAAGCCATATTGTTTATAAATGTTAGCATATTTTTGGTAATTATTGAGACTCACACTATCCCGAGTAGTTTGACACGAATTGTTTATAGATAGTTAAAAAATCCTAAGACTAGTTTGTAAAAGTAATTAATGGTTATCAGCAAACTGTTACACAATATATCTCCACCCCTGTGAATGACCACACCCCAAAATTTGGTTATTACCTCAGAATCGTGTCCTGTATAAGAATTTTAAGTTTCATACAAATCCAAGTACATGTTCTTTTCATTCGATTTGTACGACAAGAAGCAAAAAGGTTTAAAATGTCCGACTTATATCAGGTACACTCGGGAACTTCCAGGGAATCAACAGAAATAATAATTTTTGTTGAGCAGTTCAAATGTTATGAGCAGATTTATTAATTTTACTGCTAGTGCCCCATCCAGGTGAATTTATACAAAACTTCTTGGAGTCGTTAGATCCTGGTCTTTCACTCACCTACGCAGTTTGGTCTGAAAACGTCACACCGTTGCAGAGATATGCCCTCACTTCCTGTTTGGCGACTTCTCCATCAAATTCATTTGCACATTATGGGCGAACCGTCCTGCATATCAGAAACCAGAGAAACAAGTTCGGGTTGATCTTACAATGCTGTGACCCAAATTTTGTGACGGCTGATTTAGAGAAATCAAAAAAAGCTGATTTTGAAAAACTGGCGGAAATGCACTAAGGCAGAACTCAACATCATGGTATCCACTGAACTTGACACCAACCGTACATCCAACTTTGCCCTGTTGGTGGTGTGCTAGAGTGATTGAGGGGCATACATCTTAATTGTTGTGTGGGCAGCTAAGACATTTGTCTATCACTCTGCCAAATTTAATTTTAAAAAAAGCATGCAAAGTATTTTATGGGCTGCTGTAAATGCCCATGCGGAACCTTCATAATAAATCTAGCCGCAATCAACAAATAAGGAGCCAAGCACCTTCTGGTCCAACCTATTAGCAACAGAGAAAGACCAGAAGTCATTAAGCCCATCAGCGTTTACTCCAAAGAATGTCAATTTGATAGCAGTTTTTTGGTGACCTCATAATCAAATTTGTTTATGCGTTCAAATTAGAAGTTCAAATTAGAAGTTTCTATAAGAAAAAGAACAAATGTTTTTTTGTGTGTGTGCTGGGTTTTGGGGGGGGGACGGGACTTAATGCCTGAATTCCTCTTTGCCAAAACACAAAATTAATTATATTGGCAACATTCAACACCTTCCAGGAAATCAACAGAAAGAAGAATAATGATTTGATGTTGGGCGGTTTATAAGTTATAAGCAGTTTTAATAATTTGTGAATTATAGCACCCCTAGATGTGAGTTTAAAAAAAGCACTTCTTACACTACCTAAGGTCCTGGTCCTTCACTTACATATGAAGATCTATAAGTCACACCAATACTAAGATTTGCTCTCACTTCCTCTTTGCTGACTTCATTGTGAAATGCATTTGTGTTATGGATGAACCGTCCTGCATGTAATAAATCTTGGAAACAAGTTTTGTTTGGGTTGGTCTCGCAATACTGTAATTCAAATATAGTGACAATTAGACTCTTCTCTATCACTATGCCAAATTTCATTAAAAAAATATATGAAGTTAGGGGTTGCTATGGCATTGCAAGGAGATTGCTTTGGTACAGTAGGTGGTTGTTATAGTATTTCAGCTTGATCAGATTTATGATACCCTAAAAATTTACTTGAACTTAACCACACCCTTTATGGGTGATCATGCCCAAACCTAGTAAAATGGCCTCAGGATTTCATCGTGAATAGATCTTTCAGGCTTTGTGTGCCCAAATCCAATCTCAATCCGGAATGCAGAATCTCTCACTATCTTCCGTGAACACCTAACTCCTAGAGAAAAAAAAAAAAAAAAAAACGCCCTTACACCTCTACTCTGTACACTTTGCTTCCTCTGGTATTCAATTAATGGATCTTGTATAGTAGCACTACTTGTATTGTTCTCTGCTTGATATATCGCTTTGCTTATTTGTAAGTCGCTTTGGATAAAAGCATCTGCCAAGTGAATAAATGTAAATGAAAAAGGAAAGCATCCTTGTCAAAAGTTCCTTTGAAGTTTCATTTAATCCATCACCCAGGGGGCGCATGGTGGCTTAGTGGTTAGCACATTCGGCTCATTCCTCCAGGGTCCAGGGTTCGAGTCCATGTGTGGGCGGAGTTTGCATGTTCTCCCCGTGCTGTGGGGGTGTCCTCCGGGTACTCCGGTTTCCTCCCAAAGACATGCATGGTAGGCTGATTGGCATGTCTAAAGTGTCCGCAGTGTATGAATGGGTGTGTGAGTGAGTATGTTATTGTGCCCTGCGATGGATTGGCACCCTGTCCAGGGTGTACCCCGCCTTGTGCCCGATAGGCTCCAAATTCCCTGTGACCTTGAAAAAGTATAAGCGGTATCGAAGATGGATGGATAGATGGAATATCGCCCAGTCACAGGAAGTTCCTGAGGTTCGCGTTTAGAAGCAATGCATTTCAATATTCAACATTGAGGAAGATAAAGCTGGGTCTGAGCATCCCTTCCAGTCTCTACAAGAGACTGTTGGGCCTTATAGCAGTAGCAGCCAACGTCAAACCATTGCACATGAGACTGTTTTCAGCTGAAAGGTTGGGTGTTAAGTCCGAGGATGAAACCTCTGAGAGTAATCAGTGTCATGTGGTGATACCTGTGTGTTCTGAGAATTTGGAGGTGTCCCCAGTTTCTAGCCACGGGTCACACTCTAGGGGTGTCTCCTTATCACAAAATGGTAATGACAGACACCTCCCTCATGGGCTGGGGCGCGGTCTGAGATGGCTGTCCAGCTCGTGGTCTTTGGAGCAGCCCTCATCTGGAGTGGCATATAAATTGCCTAGAGATGTTTCCCTTATTTCTCAATTAAGAGGTTACCATTTGTTAGTTGTGACAGACAACACAGCGGTGGTATCATATATCAACCACCAGGGAGGGTTATGTTCACGCACCCTGTTTAGGCAGGCGCAACTATGTATCTTCCAACAGGACAACAACCCTAAGCACACAGCCGAGATAACAAAGGAGTGGCTACAGGACAACTCTGTGAATGTCCTTGATTCGCCCAGCCAGAGCCCAGACTTGAACCTGATTGAACATCTCAGGAGAGATCTGATAATGGCTGTGTTCCGACGCTCCCCATCAAACCTGATGGAGCTTGAGAGCTTGCATCATATTCAAAAAGACTTGAGGCTGTAATTGGTGCCAAAGGTGTTTCAACAAACTATTGAGCAAAGGGTGTGAATACTTATGTACATGTGCTTTTTTGTTGTTTTTTATTTTTTCTAAATGTGCAAAGATTTCAAACAAACGTCTTTCACGTTGTCATTATGGGGTATGGTTTGTAGAATTTTGAGGAAAATAATTAATGTAATCCATTTTGGAATAAGGCTGTAACATAACAAAATGTGGACAAAGTGAAGCGCTGTGAATACTTTCTGGATGCACTGTATGCATCAGGTGGCTGAGACCCATCTGTTGGCCCATCTGCTCATTCTACTAGGGGTGTCACCTCCTCAAAGTGTTTTGCAGTGTCCCTCTGTCTTGTTGAACAAGCCGTACCCTCGGTATGACGAAGTGGGTATTCTCGTTCCCACAGCCTTGAGCAAGCGAACATGGAGTTCCCTTTGAAAGGGAAGGGAGTTCTCCCTGAGAAGGGAAGGAGACATTGCGTAGCTTTGCCTGTGAATTTCATCTTCAGTTCAGATAATAGAGGCAGTTCATAGGTGCCATATATATGTACCACGCAACGCGCTTAAATGCCACGTCACCTAATCACTGCAGGCCTATAAATAGGTATGATGTTACACAAGCTTCAGATGCCGGTCACGCGCGAGGGTGCTTCCAACTACGTCCCTTCTTATGGAACAGGGTAACGCAGATGTTTTGTTGAATTGGACTGTTGTTTTTGGGTTTTTCTTCACAGCTTTCACAATGTTTCTGTCATCAACTGCAGCTATTTTCCTTGGCCGACCTGTTCGATGTCTGGTTTTTAGTACACCTGTGGTTTCTGTGACATTCCAGATTGTTGTATTGGCTATGCCCAATGCTTGTGCAATGGCTCTGATTGAACTTCCCTCTTGTGTCAGCTTCAAAATCTTTGTAATGATCTGTTTTGGAGTATATACATATGCTTTTATTGCTAATAAAATATAAAAAAAGCGGACTAACTGACAGTGTCTCACTATTTGGTTTGTATTTGCCGATTTTGTGCCATTTTGGTACAATGATGGTCAAATTTTTTTCAGTATTTAAAAATGAATGAACTTTGTTAACAGATTTCTGACCTGGAGCACAAGAGAAGCTAAAAGATGGGGTAGAAGACAGAAAAATCCATTTCCACAATGAAAAAACCTTTATGCTCATTTCATGTACATTACATTATACACATTACGGACATCTCAACATTTATTAACCAAGAAAAATAAGCCAAATTTATGCTTGACAAGCGTGAATTTCCTTATGACAGTGAATAATTTTTCCGGGTAGTTTCACCCTGATCAATATGGTGGACATGTTGAAATGAATGCTTATGTGCACAGGCATGTGGTGTTTCTTTACAAAGTGACATCGCCAACTACTGGCCTGGCATGCATAATACAGCATTTTTAGTCTCTGTGTTGACAACATTGTCATCTGTAAGCGAAACTTTGAAAAAATGGAAAAACTTTATCGTTTTTAGTAAATCATTGTTGTGTAAATGTACCACGAGAGTATGCATTCAGAGCTATTCATAGTTTAAGCAATTAATTTAACAGGGCATTCTTGGGCAATAAGAAACACCTGTCAGTCACATGTTCCAGTATTTTTGATCACTTAAAAATGGGTGGATTCAAACAAAAAGTGCCTTGTTCAATACAAGTTCTTTAACACATCTACATATCAGGAAATAAAAGCTAAACATTCTGTCTATCATCTCACATAAAAATTTTCACAATCATTATAAGATATAATAAAATAAATCTTGGCAATAGTCATTTAAATATTGAAATATTATGGCTTTAAATTTATTGTTATAGAACTCATGAAGTCTTCTGAAGCATATTTATGAAGATACATAGGCTCATGTTGCCATTAGTGTAATATGATATTGCACATATTATTTATTATGGAGATAACAGCAAGTAACAAGTAAAAAACATTCATTTGACTACTGAATACTATTATGTTGCTGAGCCACATGTTGGTGCAAATAATAATTATTATTATAATAATTAAAAAATGGGAATGACATGTTAGCATCACCCGTTGAACGTGTCTTTAAAGAATGGTATGAATTGAGAATATAATCCATAAAAATTTAAAATAATACCCAAGGGCACTCCAACATCATTTACAATTCTGGCTTTTGTCACATAGTCTATTTGTTTCATTAAATCCAGAATTCATTAACACTGTGTAAAAGAAGACCAGACAAACACTTTTTACTAAATAATTTTGTAGGCTTGTGACAGTAGATCAATGCTAAACTGGTTAATGATGGGCATTTTTGTTGAGCAATCCAGTCATCATAAAAAGTACACTTACAGATTAGAACACTGATGCAGTATACCAAATTTCAGCTCAATCTAATTTAAGAGAACATGAGAAACAGTTCTTTTTAAGTCCACTCCCTACTGGAGACCGTGGCCCACTCTTTGCAGACATCCTCAGAATACAATCCTGAACTTTTAGTTTTTGTCGGAATCCATTCAACCACTCTTGAGTTACAACTGTTTGAGTAAACCCAACTCCCCCAAAAAAGAATTGATTGGGTTTTAAAAAAAAAAAAAAAAAAAAAAAAAAAAAAAAATAAGAAAAAAAAATAAAAAAAAATTTTGGGTTTTTAATAAAAAAAAATATTTATGAGAAAAAATAGACCATTGAAGGGTGCATTTTGGAATCCCCTGCCTATTCAATGCAGTATATATCCGTTGAGTGATTTATAATTAGTTATTAAACATTTACCTTTCAAAATATTAAATGATTTGAATGTGAGAAAAGCACCTAACACCCGTTAAAAATCTAAACGTACTCTTCTAGCTGACCCTGACCGCCCTGGTTGGGGGTCACTCAGGCCTGTGCCTACTCACTATTTTTAGTTAAAGCATTTACTTTACTTTTCATCTTCTATCACTAGAGAATAATGATGAATATTGTCTAAACTTCTTACTGAGAGAAAGTATATCTAATCAGTTTGTTTTGAGAAAGTTTCCTGGTCAGAGCTAGAGCTCGACCAAATCCAACCTTGAAGCTGTGTATAGGTGTTTGTGCATCAGCATTCTTTTGTCACAGGACGTTCAGAAGTGAACAACACAGGGAAGGTGAACAGCCCATATGAAGAGACAACAGATAATCGATGGAGATATTCTTCTGACTCACAGTACATATGTGGGGATTTTCTCCATTTATCTATGCACTAACCAATCAGGAATCATTCAACCTGGTGTGATGACTAGCTTAGTGATTGTGTGAGAGTATAATTTTTGCTGTAATGAGTATGTATGCAGAGGGGCCTACAAACTCCATGCTTGTGTGAAGCTGAATTCTGCTTGATGAAACTGCAAACTATTCTTCAGTAAAATGCTCTTAATTCCTGGTCTTCATTCATCCTATCTGGTTCTTGGGTCTTTAACTGTACATTCCCCTACAATTAAATGGTGGAGAATGTGGGCATTCATTCTCCAGTGATATCCCTGGATAATCAACAAACAAGGTAGGCAGATTTAATTTATTTTCTGTTGGTTGGGCTTTCTGGGTGAAAGAGGTTGAGAGAAAGGGGAGGGATAGGCACACTCAGACGTGAGTGTGAGGCACCAGCCTGGAGTGGGCTGGTGTTCTGGTTAATATTTACCACCTCTAAAAATGAATAGACACTAGACACCGGTAAGTTCTAGGGTAAAATCGTGTACCTGACTCTCAATCTTTTCCATTCCAGATAGGGGATCCCTGAGCTTAGTGATTCAAGTAGTCAGGAATAGAGTTTTAGCCTTTAGTATAATAAGACAAAATAGACATAGGATTGTTTTGGGGATGCATCAGGAATGATCCCAAAGTAAAAATTGTGGCCCTAGTTGAATTGGACCTGTATAGGTTAAATTTGCTGGGGAGTGGTTTGCGGTGGTTTTATTGGCATTCAGCAAGGCATTTCATAGGAGTTCTGAAATATGTGCCAT